AATAGTATATTAAACTAGCTGTTACCTGCTTATAGTATATTAGGCTTTGCTCGTGCGGATTTTGCAAGCAAACCCTATTTACATTCAATATTTCAACAACCATAGTAATTGTTACATAACACCTACCGCTGAGAATGATGAGAATTGCTGAGATTCAAACGAACTGTTTTTAATTTGATAAATTTTCTGGAACATTTACAATCATTCTATAATAGACCAAATATGCAAAAAGAAATTCAAATTTAAAACGGTTCGAACATTTGGTTAAAAAATCGAATTATATTGATATAAAAAATATTTATAACAATGTCTGAAATGTTATCAATTTAATACCCCTAAGTACTCAATGAAGGCTAAACATAATTAAAAACAAAAAAATTGCATCTAAAATAGTACAGTAGAAGCCATTCTTCAGGTTAAGCCTTAATGCTCTCCCTCTCCCCCGCGGGGGAATTTCGAAAAATCCCTTCTTAGTGTGCGTTTTCATGATGTACTCTGTGTACCAAATTTCATTTCTAGATTCTGGAACTTTCTAGAAAAAACTGAAACATTCTCATTGAAGCGTCACACATTTTCGAAGTCAACCACTTTCAAACCCCCATATCTCTCACACCTTTATAGCTATCGAGATGCAACCACCATAGTGCATGATGGGAGACTTGGGGCTACTACCACACACAAACACCATTCATAATTATTATGCCTTTTTGTCCTTTTTTTATAACTCTATTTAAAATTTATTTTGTATTACTAGTACATTCTATATATTAACAGGACTTATTATAGTGGAATTATGGATGCAGATATTTAGTCTTACAGTTCAAAACACCATTCATGTTCGATGTGTAGTTTTGGCTGCAGAGTGTTGTATAGGCACAAACACATCCATTTATATATATATATAAATAAACAAATAATAGTAAAAATAAATGTTGTTTTCAATTTTTAGAATTTTCTTCTGCCCAAATTTTCATTTAAATAATGATAAATTATTTCTGTTTCCCCCATATGTGACTGCAACTAAATAAGCAGTTTGGAAAAGATGTGGCTGCAGCTATTCGTATGACCACTCTCTCATTATAGGCTCTCTAGCTACTTATGGCATGTACAAGAATTTTTGGTGGCATGGCCTAGAAAATGACAAAGTACTGAAAAAGTTTCATTAATTAATTAATGAAATCAATTTATTAAAAATATTTCATTATAGGCTCTCTAGCTACTTATGGCATGTACAAGAATTTTTGGTGGCATGGCCTAGAAAATGTTAAAGTACTGAAAAAGTTTCATTATCATTCTATAGACTGTGCCACAAAAAATATGTTACCAACCACTGGCCTAACTCATGGGCTCTTTTTGGACTGTGTTTGTGTAATTAGTAGACTGATATTCCTATGGCTATTTGGAACTCANTCTGTCTAGAAATGGGAACCACCATTTATTCACTTCTTGTGTTCCAGAATACAAATATTTAACGACCTAACCTTTTAATTTATATTTATTTATATTTTAATATTTATAATAATATAATTTATGAGACAAATTAAAATTTGGTTATAATAACTGAAAGTTGGAATGAACTTCCAGACTGATTTTCATGTATGATGGAAGTCTCCTTCGCTCTTTTAACTGTTTTTGGTACAATGTACAGTACTACTGTGAGCAAACATTCAAAATGATGAAATAAACAAATTCTATATGGATTTATAACATAACTAAAGAAAATTCAGAAATGTGCATAAAGTTAAAAAAAAAAGTTCAAACTATGAACTAAATATTGATCTGTTAGCTTCAAAATTTGAACCTCAAGGGAATCTGTAATGTTTAAATATTGAAATTTTTAATTATTTTTATTATAGTGATTAACTGTAGTGTGTTGTTAAAGTCAAATAGTTTTCTTAATGTAGTTTTACTAGTTTGATTTCAGTGGCACAGAGAGTGCCCAATACTTGAAACAATTTTATGTGGCACTCCAGTGTGTGAGGTTACCAACCACTGCCTTACACTGTTATTCAGTTCAGAAGATATTGTATAAATAGTCTTTTCTCCCCCATTGTTTTTTTTATTTATGAATAACTTATAAAATAAAACAAATGAAATACTTAATTAATAAAAACGTAATTATAAGTAGTCTGCTGGTGTACTAAGTAACGAAGGTGTATTTGTGTTAAATGTTTTTAGCATTTTTGAGAAGCAAGTTTCAAGTTGTTGAATTTTCATGAGAGATTCCAAAATAAAATATCCTATGAAAATTTAAGATTCAAAACTACAGTAAAACATAATGAAATAACCTTGTATTTTCAACCCAATGCAGTTTGGGTGGTAAATGAATGAAAAAAATTTCTCTACATTTTTGTTTTTATTTAAAACAATAATGTTATTGTCATTATCATCATAATTATAAATAAGTACATGTGAATGCAGATACACCACCTAAATGTTGCTATAGATTGGCTGAAAGAAAGCCACTAATATTCATAATTTGTATATTAAACAACCCAAAATCCTATACATATATATATCTCACATAGCCAAACAAACAGCTAACAGCTACCTCTTGTAGAAAATTACTTGGTATATAAATTTGCTAATTTTTAATAATTAATACATAGTCAAACAATCACCTTAAATACTTAGTATCTATTCATAATTTGTATAACAACCAGACTGAGATACTAAAAGAATATTTCTTGGTCTGGACACAAAATACCTGATTTCCTATGTAAGGCAGTAGTATCCAGTGATTAAAATCACACTTTAATCAACAAATGTTCCTTCACTTCACAGTTGGGAACACCAAGTGAAGTGGCGGAAATGAAAAACCCATCATGGTATATTCTTTTGGTTTTTAAAAAAAAGCAGACAAAATATGTTCAGTATGTTATCTTAAGTATGGATTTCTGTTTATAAAGACAAAAGGTTAAACAAACAATTTCTGGGATCACCCAGGCTTTTTTATAGCAATCATCAACCCATTCACTAAAACAAAGTTTTTCACCAGATTACTTTTTACTTACTGTAATTCTTTGTACAAACCTGAAATGAAAGAACAACCAACAATATAAAAAAATGCAGAGTTTTTATGACTGAGTTTCTCAAGCAACTTTATTTTTGTTTATTAATGGTAAAATTGTATCAGACCAAGACCAATTCATGTTATATGATACTCTTTCTCACAGAGTGATTCTTTTCCCTGGAATGCTCTCTAGCTATTCACCACTTCAATCACAAAATGAATATAATTTTCGCAAATTGAAAATTTTGCAATAGGCAGTGGGACCCCCACATTTAAAACCAAATCATCTACACTAAAACAAATGAGTCATACGATAATTAATTGTTACTGATCAATGGCATATATATCATAATGCATTAAAAACAATAGTTTGTATCACAATTGTTCATATTTGCAAGATCTTCACAGACATCACAATTTTACTAAAGCAAGCATCCAGCAAGGGATGGATGGATACAAATTTACAATTTCTTACTTAGCAAAATGCATAATATTAATTCTTATCTAGTAAGGTCTATCCTTGAAAACAATGACACTAACTTACAGTATATTATAATATTCCCACATACACTAACAAAACAATTCCTGCAAATAGATCTAGACCTGAATGACTGTCAGGAAAGTATTTTTTTTTTATTCAAAATAAATGTGCAAATTCTCGTAATATAAACAATATAAAACAGAATAATAAGAAAAAAAAATCCTGTAATATTTTATGATATTCTATATATTTAATCTATGCAGCAGGCAGTTGAAGTAATTCCCAATGCAATAATGCAACTTGGTTAACATTCTCAATTAGATAAGGTAAGTAAATTTTTTGATAATTAGGAACCCACAAACATTCCAGATCTCAGACCATCAGATGGCATAATTATTGATTTACTTATGATTGATTGATTTCTTACTAAACACACTGAGAAAAATTGAGATTTTTGAATGTGAAAATGAGTATTTTGAATTGTTGGATTGTTCATTTTAGATAGAAAAAGGTTGCCTATCCTGGCTTATACAGTTAAACCAATTTATATATACAATTAATTTTCATTCTTATAAGCCAGAATAATACTTTGACTTAAACATACTTTCAACGCATTGACCATTTTCCTTTTTACGATCAAAGAAAGCATCGCACACTTCACAAGTGCCACTCGACATAATCTTCATCAGAAAAAGCAACAATAATTAAAATAAAGCAGGAAAGTATGTGATGCTATAACTAGGTAACATTGCCGTATAGGTCGGCCCACAAATTTTTAAATGGACGTAAACCCACAACATTCAAACTACACAGTTCTAACACATCACACAATATATATCTCTAGTTTATGGCATTTCAAACAGCAATGACAAAATAAATGTCAAACACAATCTTCATTCGCACGTCAATAAGAAGTATTTAAGACCAACTCGTTACCTTTTATAATTATATTCCGGAAATGAAAGTACAACTTTCTCACCAGATACAAACAATAGAATCCGGACAATTTCTTTGGGAAATTTTACCCCGAAACTCAAATCATACCAAGTGGGTAGGTACTACATTCAATTTTAGTCATTTGACACTTTTGGTATATTTTTATATTGGTAATAAGGATTTTCAATCTCGGATCAAATTCTTAATATTAATCCGAATACAATGAAATATTTTTAAAATATTTTTGAATAATCTGAAACACTGTTGTATGTCATAAATGCATATTGATAAACTTCCATAACATCGATCTGAAATCAAATCTTTACAATTCTCTCAATTGTAAATCGTTAAAGACTATTTAATAGTAAAAATCTCTCCTTTTTTTCGTATGTTCGGCGATTTTCAATTGGCTAATACTATCAAAGGTTCATTCAATAAGATTGCTCGATATTTATCATTTACATATCTCCTTTTATAAACTAAATTAACAATAATCCAATTTTTAAGTTAAAATATATCTCGCTTATTAAAGAAAAATTCGATATTATTTTTAATTTAAAAAATACTTACCAGCATTTTTAAGAAAGGTTGTCTTTTGAAACTCACAATTTTGATACTGCTTCCCTTCCTTAACTTTTGTACGCATTGCCCTCTGGTGAGTAAATTCGAGTTTTTATCAACCGTGCTTTGGGGGGGATCTGGCAACGGCTCTTGTTTGACTTTCTTGGCATCTGAACTGGGATTAAGGAGACCGGGAAGTCCGATAATTTTCAGTTTTACTACAGTATAAAATGTAATTAATAACGAATGCATAAAAGGAGTGATTTTCTTGAATTATTATAAAAACGTGTATTTAAAATAATATTTAAGAATAAAAAAAGACAGTAAGAGACGTTAGCTCAAAGATAAAATTGTGTTTGCATCAACTGTCGTGAGATTTTATTTAAGAATAGTTTTTATAATAGTTAATAATAAAAAAAGGCAAATGGCTTAATTTGAAAAACAATTTTAAAAATGTTGTAAATGCCAACGATCTTATTCAATATACGAATATCCCTCTATTTTTCCTCCCTTTCGCCCTTCAATCACAAAAGTTTAATGGCATCAATGCTCATATAGAAATTATCCTGCAGTTTCGAAATCTTTGGTTCCTTCAGCCTTAGGATATAGACTAATATAAATACATGTCGAATTTCACACGATTTTTTTTTTTCTTTTACATTTTTCGGTTCCTGAACTGTCAAAACGTCAGGAAATGCAAAAATTCCGTGAGTCAAAATTTGAACAATCACCGTACTTTCCCTGTTATATTCTATGACAGTCGCGAAAGTAAAATTTTTAATAATGTATTTAATATTCACATTTATTTAGAAATTATTACGAATGAAGGGCATTTCATGTTAATCGTTGCAATATTGTCTTTGTTGTATTTACAATATTCGTAGTACGCTAATGATGACTACCTTCTCTGATAGATGTCTTCACTTACGTTCGAACACGGGTACCTAAATTGATAAATATAATTAAAATGTCCTATGTTTTCAATAAAAAGCATGAAGCTTTACGCTCGATTTACACGAAGCGTGAGCGCCCGACATCTATCGCGCCGAATTGTCACTCGCGACTAAAACTCTTCGTGTGAACGATATCTGGCGACACACATCTGTATATGCGCGATGAATTTTTACCCTTGCAATTGCGAAACACATTAATAGGCTTAAAGCATTACTTGGCGTGTACAATATGACGTGTGCGTTTTAAAATTTCGGATATTCCGGGAGTCCGTTTGGATATGTCGGGCCCCATCCCTCACCACCCGGCCGCCCTATTGTGGGTCAGTCAAAACCCATAATGGGCTTGCTAAAAGAGGCCTTCTTAGTACCCACAAGGCAGAAAGAGTTAAAAAAAGAATAGATTACATAAACGAAGACTTTATTGAAATATTGTATAGGCCTTTTAATACATTTACGATTAAGTATAATTTTTTAAATTAAACTTATGTATTTTAATATAAATAGAATCTGTTTAAAATTTCAGAGAACTTTAATAGATGTAAAAAATGTAGTCTAAACAAAATCGATTAAGCAGTTTCGGATTTACAAATTAAACAACTGCCTTTAATATTGAAGGGGTTGTTTTTTTTTTGACATTTCCAAATTGTAATTTGAAACACCAGTTAAAATAAATGATTATTAAAATTTTTAAAAATAACATCTAAAAGTTCCAGCAACGAGTTGCTTAACTTTCCCGGCAACGTTTAAAACTGTATGTAGCGTCATCCTTTATAATATTTTATTTAAAAATTCTTCTTATATTTTTAATTATTATAAATTAGCAAAAAGCTTAATTTTGAGGGTAAGATAGGTTTTATAAAAAAAGTTGTAAATGCTAATAACGAGGAAAATCATCATTAAGTTCGATCCTATTCGAGTTATGAACAACACGACCCTTCTTTATCAGCCCACCCCCTCGACTCTTAGCCACCAAAATTTAATAGCATCAATCATCATAATGCACAGACCTCCGGCAAAATTTCAGAAAATTTCGACAAAAAGCACGGGAGTTATTAAGCCTCAAAGAGGGTGAACAAAATCATGCCCCACAACACACTAACATCTGTACATACAGAAAAAACCTCGATTTTTTTTTTCGACGTTTTAAGGTCCAAAAATGTAAAAATCTTGGGGGTCATACTTTTCCTCTATTATAGACTATATAACAATCGGGAAAGTAAAGATTATTAAATAATTATACCCAAAATCTTAAAAATAAATGAATTTATATGACGATTTTTAAAAACTAGCTGGGAGAAACTAAAGATTTTCAGAAGTGTCATAAAAATCATCTTTAATTTTTTTAAAAATCAGTTAACTTATATATCAAGTTTCAAAATTTAAATCGGGAGATATTTAAGTGCAGTGACGTATACAAGCAAAGGGCTACAAGGGCTTAAACCCGCACCTCGGCACAAAAATAAATAAATTTATTTGTTTGAACTTAAAAACGTTGTCTATAAAGATTTTTGATGGCAAATATGTTTTATTGAACCATCGGCAATACAATCGTCGTGCACGTGATAACAAAGGTTCAATTTTTAGCCCATAAATTTTTACAACATATTTTTAATTTTTGACATACAATATTTTTAATTTTTGCTACTTCTGAATTGACGTTAGATGTAGCAGTTGTTTATTGCTATGAATCTTACAAGGTTAGATATATTTGTATACAATTCTGTAATTTGATAAATACAGTGGGTGATCGGTTAACGGACATAATCCGTTGCAAGACTTTGTTCGCTATCCGAATTGTTCGTTAACCGATTATCAATTTGCCATAGGTTTGTATGGGAATTTGATTACAGTAGAATCCCTCTAATCAGTCATCTTTTGGACTGGGGGTATGGTCGGAACGCAAAAAAGGTCGGATTATCAGAAAAAAGTAAAATAAACAATCTTCCCTTTGTCCAGTCTTTGTAGCACTGCTAATTTTTCATTTAATGAAAGAGTAACGTGTTTACGTTTCACTCCTGACATGTTGAAAACACACACAAAACTGTACACGTACACACAATGTAAAACATATACTGTAACGAATACAGAAGAACGCCCGGACGGTGAGTCACTGACGAGTCAGGACAAGTTTCTCGACTCCGACCACGGTCGGATTAACCGGAGTGACGGACTAGAGGGGTTCTACTGTAATTCGTTCTGGAGACCCCCAAAAATAAAAAATATATACTTTCTTACTACGTTTATTTATATGTAATAATAAAAATACATACATACACAATCTTGATTTTTATTAGTCATGTTTTTTCCGTTTGAAAGAATTAAAGAATCTGTCTAATGTCGATTGCTTTTCTCTCTTCTTCAAGATTTTTCATACGTAATTAATAGCATTGTAATTGTAGAAATCCCCAAGCCTTAACCTGGTTTGGATGCCATTCTAAGACCGTTGTTCTGACATCCTTCCACTTCTTCAAAGGATCTTTAATAACAGATATCGGCATTAATCCTCTTGTGAGAGTAGCCGGGGGTACTAATCCGCTAGGATTGTTAGTACCACTTAATCGGCACAGATTATCCGAAATCTGTTCTCTAAGTTTCGGATTACGAGATCCGATCTTAAATATTCATAGGAGGGCTGTAATATTCAGCTTTATGAGGATTAAAGACTGTGTAGTCTCTATCCAAATTGTCAGGTTCCCGACACCAGTTAATCGAATTTGGATACGCGGATTAACACGCGTAGGATGCATGCAAAATGATGGTCGATCTAAAAGACGGCAGAGACATTTCTTAACAAATGAACAAATATTTAATAAAACTAAATAGATAAATTCATACAACAATCTAATATTCTAATACTAAAACTAAACCTATGCTTATTCTA